ATGCTGTTCCATGCAAAGGAACAAGACCCTCGGGCTGCCATGTCTTCAGTGTTTCTTTGAGAGCCAAAATCGCGCCGCTGGTTCAAAAAGGACAGATTAGGCTTGCCTACGTCTGTGTGTGTCTAAGATGATGAATTGCACGAAAAACCTCTCGTCCTAGAACATAGGGCTTTTGATACGATCCATCTCATTGGATCACAGATTAAATAAAATGGCAAAATTCAAAACTGCGTTTTAAACCAGAGATAAATTGTTGAGATTGTTGGAGGTTTAATCCAATTCTAGGAAATCAAAATTTATGAGAAAAAAAATGTGACCAACCATCTTCCAACTATCACAAACACAAACACTATCAACATCTAGTTCCCAAAACAATTTTAGGTTTTAATGCACACCAGTGCCATACTGATACTGATTTTCACTATTTTGAGACGGTGTCACCATCCAAAAGACTAGAGGCTGGATTGTCAAACGGATGGGCAGGATTAGGTGTAAAGACAAAGGATGTAGGAGATACAGGTACTTGGTAGGACACAATGATGGTTGAAGTATCAGTACGGGGAGGTCAAGTGAAGATGAGGGTGACCCATAAATGTAGCACCCATAAGAAGAATTAGACTCCAAAGGTTTATTCATAAATTATATTAAAATGACATGGAACCATGCCCAGATAAAGATATACTGGTAGTCCCAGAACACTCTAATTTAAGGCCTTTGAGATTTCTATAGTCCCTACAGATAACCAATACCATGAGATTTCCTTTAATGTTCTCCAATGCCACCAGAATTGGTAACATTATACTATTTCAATCCCTTCACCTTTATATATCTAACATGCATTTAAGAATCTCAGTAAATATTATTGTGTGGATTTAGCATTTCTCAGTTAAGATCACACCTCTGTAGTCTTGATGAATCACCCATTCGATAACCTGCACTGCCTATCCTCCGCAGTAACACCCAGAGCCCATTTGATTAACTGCTGAATCTATAATGTTTCAGTAATGTTTCATGAGTGTAATCCAGGAAACATTTAGATCTGTCTATGGGAGAGAAACAGATTCATGAAAACTGTGGATAATGCAGTTTTCTTCCTTTCTCGGTATTAGATGACAGCAAAACCAACCTGCAGCATTTCTACCCATTAAGAAAATGTACGTGTTTCTCCTTAAATGGAAATCTTTCAGTAAAGATGTTCTTTTAAATGGATTGCAGTAGATGGACACGCTGTGAAGGACGCTGCTGCAAACACCGGACGATAGGAAGACAATATAAAAATGTCAAATATTCCTCTTGGAAAAGCATCAGTCGCCCTGCGCCTTCTAGTGTTTCAGTGAGGACTCTGGGCTTGGTTTAAGCCATTCTCTCTAAAACTACTGCTGGGCCTGTTTCTTTTTCTGGGTACTTGAGGGTTTTTTTATTGACTGTAATGAATCACACGACTCTGCACTGTGCCTGGGCTCTCATCCTGGAGTGAATGTGGTGCAGAGTAAATAATGCATACGACTGGTGAAGATGAAGATGGGTGCACAGGAGGTGACCTCTTTATTTGGTGGGTATGTGTTTCATCATTCAGATTCCTTTGGAATTTGGATCTACACATTTATCTGAGAAACATGTGATAATTCATTATTCTCTGATGGTTTAGTTGTTGGTGAAACTCATGTAGGGACTTAAAATCCTTAAGAATTCTTGGATGTTACTGTGTTTTCACGGTTGATGAAGTAAATAAAAATTCTTTAAAAAGTTTTTAAATTTCTTGTGGTTTCCAGTCAAAGTCCACAATTAGATAATTTACTTTTTTTTTTTAATTTTTAATGGAATAAATAACGTCAATAATAGCTTTGGGCTTAGCAATGGGAAAATCTTCTGTAAATCATTATTTTTACTTGTTCTGAACAGAAAGTATTCAAACGTCACTAATGATTTTGATTTTGTAGAAAAAACTACAGCAATATTTGTTTGTCAATTACAGAAAGCCAAAATTTCTCAGTTTCAACGATAGCGTTGATAGACATTGAAGGGCCGTGTTGTGTTGAAGTTGAATCACCCGTACCTTAGTGCTGTGTGCTTTTAAGATTCCCCAAAAATGTAATGACGATAGTTTCAACTGCTATGTTTGCACAGGATAAGAAGTCTGATTTAGTGTTCAACCTAACAATTATGCTGCGTTTCAACAGGACACCACAAGAACTTTCAGTACCAGGAAGATTATGCAGCTTAGTTTTCTGGTATTTCTGAGTGCCACAAAAGCACATAAAACAGTTGCACTTAAAGCTCCACCCTTACTGTTTTGCGTATCTCGGATTGTCCTATCCCTCCAGCGGGAACCATTTTTGGGCAGAAATTCAGTCTCTGGAACTCCCATTTAGTTACTGGTACATGCAAAGTACCAGGAACTTTCATGCCTAGGAGCCATTTTTGAGAAAATAAATGGTTCATGTTGACAATGTGAAGATTACGCCGTTAGGTCCAATAGTGTGTAGAGAAATACATTTTAGATAATCCTTAGATTTACAGGATGTTTTTTCAGGTTTTACTGGACGCTATCATTGTCAAAAAAAAAAAAAATCCAGGTGTTTCGACTTTCTCATTTTATTATTCAGATGTGCACTTTGTTGGCACTGACTCTTAAATAGTTAGCAAGAAATTAAATTCAGTAAGCAGGGAGTACCCTGTTTTAGCTTACCAGGGGACAGGCAACTTTCTCATTTTATTATTCAGATGTGCACTTTGTTGGCACTGTTTTAGCTTACCAGGGGACAGGCAAAACTGGGCAATAGTTCCTGGTACTATTTTTTACTTTCTGGAATTAAAGGCTTGAACTCCAACACCTTAACTGTTATTAATGATAACGTTGCCCTTGGGTATGAATTTTGTCAATCTCATTTTCACGTGACAGAGTCTTTTACTCTCTTTTACAAGACCACAGAAGACCTTGTTAGTGTCCTGTTACCAAGTCTTGACTGTGTCCAACAAGTGACACATCTGTTTACACTTGTTTCTGATGTAAGCATTTTCTTGCTTGTAAACATAAAGTAGGCCTGAAAGAATTTAACCATTAACCCATGTGGCTTTTCTTTTAACCATTAACTGCCTGCCTTCCTGAAGGAGGGCCTTTGACTCTGGCTCAGTTTGACTGCAAAGAAATGTTAAGCTTGTGTCTATAACTTTAACAAATAATCTGCAAAAACCTTGGTCAAACAAACTGCATTTAATATTACACTGCTCAAAAAGCTGCTATATTTAGAATAGCTATGTTTATCCCGCTACAACCGAGCTACGCTTCTTCAACAGCAGCTCTGTATCTTTTAAGTACCATTACCGCCACCTGCTGGTTCTAGTTTCTGCCGGTTCGACTAGAAGAAGAAACTCAAGTGATTATTTAAAAGTGGAAAAACAGACAAAAACATAAATTGGTAAGCCCCCTGCTGATCAACAGTGGACTGAGGATATGAATCTGGGTTTTTCTTTTTGTTATATTTGAGATAATACATGCAGCCATGGCTGTTTAAATATCTTGTGGCCAAAACTTCAACCTAATGTTTTCGTCTCACCATCAAACTCCAGTCTATCAATCATATTTCAATAATGACCCAGGGCAGGAAACAGACTCCACCTGTGAGTCAAACGACTGTACCATAAGAGTGGTTGAGTGTGAGTCTTTAGCTGGGGCCAACGGCGGTGCAGTAGTTTCCCCCTCCCTTCCTCCGTCTGCTGCAGTGCTGGCGTTTGCCCCAAGCACCACTTCTGTAAACAAGTATGTTTCCAATTAGCATTTTTCGAAGACAGCTGGCCGCTAATGCTGCTGATGAAAGGCGGTGGTGCTGTTAGGGGTCTCTACTCGGCACTGTTGAACCGGCTTCATCTGCTTCTCTTAGAACTTAAAGAGGGAATGCTGAGCAGAATTGTGGCCGAGTATAACTTTACAGACAGTAAAGCTGGTTTTAATTGTCTGAACTGACTCATTATGGATTGGTTTATATTTGCCCAAGTTAGACCAAGCCCTTCATTAGTCGCCTTATGCAAAGAAAAAAGCAGACTTTCTGCACATTTGCACTGACTCTACAGTAGGTTAGGCTAACAAAACTCGGGTGAATGCCAACTTGTAAATGCAATTGCCGGGTTTAGAGTGCATTCACGCACCAGAAAATAAGAAGGACAAGTGATTTTGTATATACAAGGACAAGTTTAATTATACATTATTGGGCTGATAAAGTAAGAAGTTGGTTGAAAATTTTCTGCAGCTACTTATGTTTGTTAGCTTTGTTGTTAGCTTATCTTTATGTTAAGTACATAGTCTGTTTTGACTGTAGTAACTTTTAACTACATCTGATCTACTGTTTCATTATTTTCATCTACGATTGCCATTTTAGCTGTATTTAAAGAGAAGTGTCCAAAATTATATTTAGTGTCTAATTATAGTTCATGGGGTTTATCTTTTTTAATATTGTCACTAACTTGGTAAACATTTAGCTAACTTCTTAGTGACAATATCTTTTTTAATATTGTCGCTAACTTGGTAAACATTTAGCTAACTTCCAGCTGTTTGGGGTAACATTTTGTTACTTTTATACCTATATATGGGCTATAAGAAATGTATTACTATTTAGTTAAGTTCCATATTTTTAACTTTAACCACGGTAAGAAATGTATTACTATTTAGTTATAGTAAGTTCCATATTTTTAACTTTAACCACATTTTTTTTAAGCTAAGCTAAGTAATAACACTGTCTCAGCCTTGAGTGTGTTAACACTTACATCAGTCATGTGACTATTTAGCCTTCCTGCCCTTGGTTACATTAAGTCATTGGTTAAATTAGTCAAGGAGTTTAAAATATCTTCTTTAATTTCAGGCTAATTGAAAGGTTTTGCACAAGACTCAGTAGCTCTCAAAGGGAGTGTGAAATAATAGGAAATGGAATCACTGGAGATCGCTCCTGTGCTATTATTTTACCTTCATGCTAATTCGGTCTTGGTCTTTCTCTCTCCACCCACAGAGAGGAGAGAATGGGCTGTGTCCAATGTAAGGATAAAGAAGCAGCAAAACTCACGGATGACCGGGAGACCAGCCTCTCACACAACTCAGGATACCGCTATGGGTCCGACCCCACGCCGCAGCACTACCCCAGCTTTGGCGTCACCACCATTCCCAATTACAACAACTTCCACAGCGCCGCCACACAGGGGGTAACCGTTTTTGGAGGAGTCCACACATCCTCGCAGTCTGGGACGCTCCGGTCCCGGGGAGGAACAGGTGAGGTGGAAATCTGTTGTCTCACTCCATACTTGGCAGAAAAGCAAACGAGCGTAATATTCTGAGGTGACAAACTGTTCTTTTCAGACAAGGTGACATTGTAACTGTAAAATATGGAGCTTTTTAACTACGCGGGTCAGACTGGCTACAGGACAGTAAAAAAAAGAAGAAAAAAAGGTTTAATGTTGCACAGGTGTAAACATTTCTGAGGACTCACTCACTGACTGACTCGTGTCCAACTTTCAATAACAACTAATGTTAACTCAACCAGTTTACTGACCAGTGAGTACAGTGGAGGGTTTGCAGTTCAATTTTCTGTTTTGATATTTTCCAATATTATCATGAAGACACTGTGCTGTGTTAAAACCTATGATTCTTTCCCTGCATGTGTGGACACCGCTGCCCTGCGATTAATTTATCTTTTGGCACTTTTGGCAGAAGATAAATGTCCACGGGCTGCAAGTTAATAGAAAACAGAGTGACCTAAATTATCACCACTGCTCCGCAAGACACATCTGATGACCAGAAAGTTCAGACATTGTGCTAGACAGCCAAAAAAA